CTGTTGTGACTGTCTAAATAGACCCATACCACCAGGGCCGGATTAACCATTATGGCAACTGGGCACTTGCCCAGGGGCACATGACATCTGAGGGGCACTGGGCTCTGTGAAACAGGGCTTGCATTTCGGTGCGGGATTGCGGGGATTGCGCATAATTTAAACCATTCCCGCAAGATTAGTTTTTATAGTGCGAGAAATTCCCGCACAAATATATTTGCTTCATCTCAGACCGTGGTAAAGTTGGTTGGATATTCGATATTGGATATTCAACGGATATTCGGAGCCCGAGATCAGGTCCGGTTTTCCCACAAGCAGCCACACTACACCGCGGTGATCGACCGAGAGAATCCTCCGTGTGCTTATAGTTAGGGACCGTCTATAAAGTACAAGTCTCAACGTTATTAATTCAAATCACTATCCGATTGTTTTATAGAGGACACCCACATTTTGCACAGCTTTGTTTTTTTTAAGGAAATTGTGTAAGAGACATTTAATAAACATTTAAAAGTTATAAAAATCTATCTTTACTTTTTACTTTCATATTGTCTACAAAGGTCTTTCACATGTTGCACAGAATTTGGTTTTTCAAAATAAAACATTTTAAGTTTTAAAATACATTTAAATAGTGGAATTCTCAATAGGTTTTTTGTGCAGTGGCCTATTAACCTCTGTTATCGTCGATTCCACCCTAGATGTGCGCGAACGAGCTGCGAGGCTAAATTCCACTTATCCGACCGACCTAGATGCGTCCCTAGCAGACAAACTCATTCAGTTCACTCACTTTGTGTCATGTGACACTTCCCCTGCTCAGTTGTTGAAAGTTTGGATTTTGATGATGTTGTGCACCAGTTTGCATATTTGAAGTCTAGAAGGAAGGCCACTTAGTAATCTGCTATAATGAATTACTTTAAAACAATGAATCTTGGATAGCATTACATGTTTTGAGTTTACACAATTTAAGTCAAGGAGTCCAGTGTGTAAGGGTCACCTGTTAAGCAAAGGAAAATATATAAAAGTTAATAGACGTGTATAAGCCTAATTTGAGTTTTTCCCCTATAGTGTTGTGTTGTTACCCTTATTAGGCCGATTAGGCCTAATAATAAAATGTTTGTGTGTTTATGAGTTCAGTTTTAAAGAGGCCAGTTCTAAGGCCAAATTGTTAAAACAAAATTGAACTGTAATTTTCTTTAAGAATATATAGTAGTAGGGCATTAACATGATCTTAAGTTTAGGGACATGCTCTTGATGATAAGGACTTTGTGATTGTTGCTTTGGTGCGGGGTTGGGGGGCCGTTGAGTCTTGTTGCCCTGGACATAAAAAATTGCTAATCCGGCCGTGCATACCACAGAAGTTATGTTAAAGTGTAATAGTGTTGTAAACACAGGTGTATTTTATCAAACTAAAGGGATATTCTTATCATAATAAAATAACATGGGTGTAAGTGCTGCAAACATGCATGCTGCTCACCTCGTCCATTCAGCCCGTAATACAAGAGGGACACGACGGAGCCTTCAGTTCAAAACAGTTCGGTTATGTCATGTGACTTCTCAGGGCATATTTCAATACAATATTTCACTGTAATAATACTGTTTATTGCTGTGAAATCCTTAATTTTTTTCACTGTGTTGCTGTGATATTACAGACCTTATTGTGAAATAACAGCAGCTTTAGATTACAAGATTTTACTGTAAAACAAGAGTTAAATGCTGTAAAATCCAATGATACTGTGGTTTTTACAGGTATTCATTGGGATATTACAGGGAAACTTAATTACAACAAGTTACTGTAAAATAATACTGTTAATTTTTGTGAAATGCTGGTAATATGTCGCGAATGTTTGTTAATAAGTCGCTTTGAATGCACATCTTTTGTTTCATTCAGTATCATTCAGTTTTGTGTTTAATAAACGAACGTTAAGGTAGCTCTGCGTGTGGCTTTCTCCGCACTACACCATATAGATTTCGTGACAGATTTATTTGTAATGTATGCTGACATAATATGACTGCTACCCGCACAAGAAATTCTTCACTTTCTTAACGAACAAATTTTCTCACATTACCTCATTCTCTTTATCTGTGTTACATATTTTCCCATGGCATTCACAATTCCAAAACATTTTGCTAGAACAAGTGGTTTTCATCTAAACAGCAGCATTGTTTTGTCTGTCTAATAATCCTTTTTCTGTGTTGGATATTAGAAAGCATGTTCACTTTTAGTACCTGATCTAATGTACTCCCTAACTGCACGAAACGTAAAGCATGTGGTTATTTGGAAAACATCAGCAGGTGGGTATGTGGGTGTGTGTGTGCATGCAGGTGTGTATGTGGGTGTGTGTGTTTGTGCATGCATTTGTGTATGTGGGTGTTTGTGCATGCAGGTGTGTACGTGCGTGTGTTTGTGCATGCATGTGTATATGTGTATGTGTGTGTGTGTGCGTGTGTGGGGTTAATGCGCATGCAGGTGCACGTGTAACTTGGCTTCTATTACTATTTTCCACTCATGATGGAAGGAATCATGTGAACTGTAGTCGACCAGATTTGCTGGAAACAGACAGGGGTTTTAAGGGGGTCCATTGTCTTGTGTGCCAGTAGGGCCCAAACACACCCATTACATCAAGCTCAGTTAACCAGAAGCAGATGGAGATCTGGAGGTGAAGCTGAAGAGCAACACAGAAACAGTCCACATTTCAATTAGAGTTATCTGCTGTTGTGGATCAAGGAGATAACATCACATCAACCGTATGGACTCTCCAGACTTTTGCTTTTAACCTAAACAATATATTTCCTATTGAAGCGTTTGTGGAATTAATGACAACCTAGTTAGAGGAGCTTTGCTATGATAATGTTATGTGTGATGCTTTAAAAAAAGATCTTTACCAAGCTTGTTTAGCTAACCTTAAAACAAGCAGGAATCCAATGTTTGAGTATGTGATTATTATACAAACCTAGTACGTTAACCTGATATCTATTCATCGAGGCTGAAAATCTGAAAATTCCTTTTTAACTCTAAAACATAAAATCTACTTTTATCTAAAATAAGACTTAAATAGACTCTAATTTAAAAATCCCTTTCCTACCATTTCACTTTCCTACCATACAGACATATACATAAATACATGCACATATACACAAGCACACAAAACTGTAAAACCAGAAGAGATTACGATTTCACATCAGAAAGTGAGATTTAATTCTATACACAAACCATACATGTTAGTGGCAGATCACACGAGAGAGTCACCTTTCTTCTAATCAAATCTCATCACAAATAAAAAAATAATCTTGTATCTTGATGGATAGCTGTGTTATAATTGTATAACTTACAATGCCTGCACTTTTCTTTTACTGCATATTAGGCGTTAAGAAACTCAAAGAAAAAATTGCACTTTCTCAGTTTTGTGAGTATTCTGTGTATTCTTGTGTGTCTTCTCCGTGAGTCTTTGTTAAAAAAAGTCTGACAGAAAGTGTACATCGATACAGCACTAGGAGAGACTTTAAACGGTGCCTTCATCACATTTTCAGTACTCCGGGTTTTTCTTCATGTCTGGTTTGCCTTTCAGCTAGCCTGTTTGTCAATAGCGGTATCTGAGAATTTACAGTAGATGTACATTAGCGTGTTTATGTGTCATTATTGTGTGATCGGTTATTCCACTGAAGAGCACCACAATTATAAGTGATGTCTGAATCATTAGATTTTCTTTTATCGGGTTTGTACTGTTATCGCAACTATGCTGTAAAATATCCCAAATCTTTCCGCGTAGTTGCGATAATAGTACCAACGCGATAAATAAACCTGTAAAATCCTCACACAACATGGACTCCAGAATGGCCAGAGAGTAGAATTCTACTCTCTGGTGTTAGTTATGTGTAGTCTGGGAAATGTGTGTTTAACCACCTAGTGCTTGAAGCGTAGTGTTTGAGTTTTAAGGGCACAATAATGATGAGTACTTAAGTAGTAAATTCAAAACATTATCACATAGGTGCTTCTCTTCTGTGTTGGTAGCTGCTAGTTTCTTAAAGTCACTAAATTAACATAAAGCTGAGAGTCTCCTGTGGTCATCAACAACACAGCTGATAAGTTGATGTACGGATTAATTACCAACAACATTTGCTCTAGACTTTAGAGCAGCATGTCTAACATGTTATAGCGCAAAAAAAAACGTAAATAAAATGTCAGACAATGTAGAGTAAGCAAGCTAGGTACCTAGATACATAATTAGCTTCAGATAGCTTGCTAGCTTGCTAGCTTGCTAGTGTGAGGTTGTCTTCTGCTAGGTTTGCTAAGCGATATGGTATATGGTTTTTAGAACAATGTTTCAAAGAACATTATTGTGTAGGGGAGAGTGCAATAAGATAAGCAAATATTTACTTACTGTAAGTTGACATGGGGAAATGAGACAGACATAAAATGTACACATACACATTCTAGGATGTCCAGGCAGGTGAAATGACATAATGATACCAATGACAAAAGGCTCATGGAAATGATTGCTATGAAAAAAGTGGTCCTGTGGGTACTGAGTCAATTGTAAATAACTTAAATAGCACAAAAATCCTAGCTGTTCTCTCTTCATCTACGTGTTTTTTTGTAGTCTGAGAGTCTGATTTTGGTTGTGTTGCCAAAGGCATACTTGTATTATTCTTCCACCAAACTCACCGCTTTATAATGTCATGCTGTCCCCTTGGAGAATTCCTCAGAGCTTGACATTTTGACAGGTTCACTTTCTGGATGGCTTACCTCTAAAACTTCTGGGGGACCTCCCAATGCCGGTTTTTTTGAGATTTTTTCCAACTTTTTTTCTATTCTCATCACAAGATTCTAGGCAGATTATTTTTATCCTGCAAAATTATACCACTTAAACCACTTTCAGTAACTTGTATGTCTCGATGGATATCGAACAGCCAGCAGATGTTGAAGATACAAAAAATAAAATGTTAAAAAAATTTTTTTAACCAGGTAGGCCGATTGAGAACACTTTCTTAATTGTAACCATGACCAGGGGAGAAGCCGGGGTCGAACCCAGGACATCATACATACAAAGCAGGCACTCTACCACTGAGCTACAACAACTCCTCCAAATTATGTTGATAACAGTATTTGTGCAAGAAAAAAAACATGATTTACTAAAAGCAATCAGTATTTGTAGTAATCTGTATTTTCCTTAATGGTCGACGCATGGATTTCTGTTCATTAGCAAACCAATTATTTAGCCAATTTGCATTTATCTGGACAAATGTGATAAGTCCCCATGGAACCAATAAAAGAACAGCGCACAATAGCCTGGGGAGGAGTTTAGTAAAAACATTGTAGTCCAGCGACTGACTTGATTGATTGTTTCCTAGGAAGGTCAACTATAGGTAGCCTACCAAACTAAACTAATTTGGAGTTGAGAACCCACCTGTTATGTCAGTGGCCGTGAAACTTTAACATAATCCAGGACATCCAATGACATCAAATTTAATTCGGTTTTTATTTACAGTCAAAGAACAAAACAGTACCGCTCTGAGTTTGATAGATGAGTGTAGCGTGGCGTGTGTAGCCATCTAGTGACAGCCTGTCTGAGAATGGACTGGTGCAGATCCAGAACACATGCGCACAGGCAGAGGGAGGGTCACAGCTTGTCCAACTTAATATGCTGTTCTTGCAGCACTGCATTAGAGCTCCCAAACGCCAGACAGACCCCAAGCAGGGCGGACAGCAGACATCCCTCTAGAAACCATCTGTCCTTTATTATGGTATGTAAAGGAATTTATGACACTGATGTTATTTCTCCAAACATGATCAGATTGGAATTCTAATAACCACCGTTATTGGGAAAGTGATCATTCGTCGTCTATTTTAAGCCTATTTATATGTTTGAAATATATCGATTTACACATCTGTATTTATTTATACATTAATGTTAGATCCTTTTTTAAACATGGCTGTGTAAAACATATTTTTACTTTGGTTTTCCTAGAATGCATCTCCCAGAGACTACATCTAATTTGGACACCTCCTTACTGTTGGAATTTACTTAGACTTTGGTAAGAGACAAGAGACAAACCTGTGAACAACAATACAAAAACGTTAATTTGGCTTTTGGCAAACAAATGAACAAGTAACAATTATGTCAGATACTGGGTGAGAAGCCGTGTTTTTTGCTATTTCCTTTCTGCCTTAGTGGAGTGTTTGCATGTGAATGATGGAGGACATTCTACCAAACCAAGACATGTGGGTGACGACGAACCACTCGGTTACCTCTGGTCATAGTGGAAACAAGACCGGTATTGGCAACCAGACCCGCGTGAACCCCCTGAAACGGAACGAGGAGGTGGCCAAAGTGGAGGTGACCATTCTCGTCCTCGTCTTGCTGCTCGCGCTGGCCGGTAACATCTGCGTCCTCCTGACCATCCACACAAGCAAACGCGGCCACTCGCGGATGTACTATTTCATGAAACATCTGAGTATTGCAGACCTGGTGGTGGCCATCTTTCAGGTCCTTCCGCAGCTCATTTGGGACATCACGTTCCGCTTCTACGGTTCAGATTTACTGTGCAGGCTGGTGAAATATCTACAGGTTGTGGGGATGTTCGCTTCCACCTACATGCTGGTTCTGATGTCCCTGGACAGATGCCTGGCGATATGCCAGCCGCTCCGTTCGCTGCACAGGAGGAAGGACCACTTTTTTGTGATTGCCTCTTGGATCCTTAGTCTGATATTCAGCATCCCTCAAGTGTACATATTTTCCTTGAGGGATGTGGGCAACGGTGTTTATGACTGCTGGGGAGACTTTGTCCAACCCTGGGGCGCCAAGGCGTACATCACGTGGATCAGTCTGACGATCTACATCATCCCAGTGGCTGTCCTGAGCGTTTGCTACGGCCTGATAAGTTTTAAAATATGGCAAAACGTTCGGATGAAAACCAGGCGGGATCAGTGCGTTTCTCTGACACGGCGTAAGGCGAGGAACGCGGTCTTCTCTCGGGTGAGCAGTGTGAGGCTGATATCAAAAGCGCAGGTCCAAACTGTCAAAATGACGTTTGTCATAGTCCTGGCTTATATCGTTTGTTGGACTCCTTTTTTCTTCGTACAAATGTGGTCAGCATGGGACCCGGCTGCGCCCAGAGAAGGTAAACAGATTTAATTATACACACGTTTACACATATATTTGAATATTCGTTGAAGCATATCACACAGCTCAATGTGTTGATATGTGTTAAAGCAATGTTGACGTAACCATAGACTACATCTATGGTTGTCTTTCATACATCAGCTACACCCACCGCCAAGCAAAACAGCCTCCTTCTGGTTAACTCGGATTGAGCATCTTTTGAAAAAAGTGAGCGAGACGCAGGAAATAACTTACAGCTTAAGGTCATATGGTGTCTTGTTTTTCTGTCGGGGTCAAACATGTCAAGTGATGTTTTAGTTATAATGTTCCTCATCTGCTACAGGCTTGGCAGAAAAAAATGCTTTTTGACCACACTCGTACTCACACCCAGGTGCATATTAGCTGCACATTTATTTGCACCCTTGGTATAGAAAAAAATATTCCAAACCTTTTGCAGATGTATTCTGCACATGTTTATTATCTTATATTATCTTGACATCATTTTTAAAGAACCCATTTAAAACTCCCTACAGGTTCCCTTGCTGATGAACTTCTCACGGTTAAAGATTCTCACGGTGCCAGATTACTGTGACAGAATCTGAGCATGCACTTTCCTTGATGTCCCTCGGGGATGTGATCTTTAAGTATTGCACGTTGGCTGAAGCAAAGCATTTTGGGGTTGAAATGTTTTTCGTAATTTGATCAGGTTCCACTGATTTCTTAAATGTTTTTCAGTTAGCCATATCACAAGCTAATTTACCTTTCAGACAACTCAACAATAAATTCCTAATACATTTTATTCTATAAATGTTTATTTAAATCTCTGATTGAATATACTGTTTTTAGAACAAAGAATCACTCAAAATGTCCAGATTATTATATTGAAAAAATGTATTCAAATGCAATGGATTGCAAAAGCAGTCAAACTCAAACGGATCTCTTATTACTGAATTGTGAAGAACAGGTGGAGAAGAGTTTTACACATGCAAACATCAATAGAAAGAGGAGACGACCATGGAGAGTGAGAGATTAAAGCTGATACCAGGTCTTATTTGTATCATAAATCACTTAGACAGGCAGTTGGTCGTCACCGTACACACACTTACTTACTGGCACCTTCACATATAGTACAGGGGTTCAAGCCTCAAACACAGCAACACCTAGACCACACCCATAATTCCTATATGTGTATTGACTGGCCAGGTTAAACTGTTGCTGGCTCCAAACATAAGTCTACTTACTCTATGTTGCTACCAGGTACAAAAATAACAATTACTTAATGTCTCCTCTCTCTGTCCAAGAACTGCCATTTATTATCTCCATGCTGCTGGCCAGTCTGAACAGTTGCTGTAACCCGTGGATCTACATGTTCTTTGCTGGTCATCTGTTCACCGACCTGATGAGATGCTGTATCTGCTGTTCCTCACAATACCTGAAGACCTTCCAGTGCACAGGGCACGTTCACCAGGAGTGCTGCAAGAGCATTTCGACCTCCACGTACGTCATGAAGAACCACGGTAGTCAGAAGAGCATCACTCAGACCTCCAGCACATGAGGACCATGCGATGTGAAGTGCTCTCTAAACTAAGAATATCGAAGGTATGTGCGGCCTGGAGTTTGTTCAAGGACTCGACCATCAAAGGAATTAGAACTTCACCAAGGAAACAAGGCTTGGCGTTCAGAGGGGGGTTGTAAATGCCAAATCAATTTAGGTAGGTTTGGGTACACAATAAAATCGTACAAAAGAAAGAAACGATGTGGTCTGTTGTTGAGTAAATAAGGTTGATGTGGCCTTGAAGCAAACAATTCGTCCACACATGCTCCTAACCTAACACACTATTTGAATGTAAGGAATGGTTTGAGCCTGGTACCATTCTGCTTATAGGGAACCAGAGGACATTTTATAAGCGTTAAGAATAATTGTGGAGTTTCCCAGATCTCTCCAGTACAGAAATTCCACCAAACGCCTGTTTTCCGATGAACATTAATTTAATGTAGAATTGTAGTTTTTTATGAACGGACAATAAGATGCAATGATGAGTCAGACTATTCATATTTAACATGTATTTGTTATGGCCTTCAGGAGCAATCTCCTACTGCAGCCAACTCATCCCTAAACATCAGCTAAAAGCTCACATTGGCCTTTTAAAATAAAACTTTGACCATACGACTTCTTTCAACACAGCTCTTTGACTGCATATTTGTAAGTTAAGTTACACACACACGGAATGTGTTCTGACCCCTAGCTGCAGCAGTTAGAACACAGCTTTTGTACATGAACAATGCAAGCAGAACAAAACACCAAACACGAAGAGTTCGACAAGAAAGACCATGCCTAGTTTGCATATGTAATGGGGAAATATAGAACATGTTATATGAATCTGAATGGTTCAAAGAAGCAATGTTTAGATGTGTGAAAAGATTGCAAAGAAAGAAAAAAAACAATCTCCAGGTTCTAGTTTAAAATGATGCATAGAGCAATATCTAGGAGGTCAGAATGGACTCAATTATGGCTGTGTAGGCATTAATCATCATGTATGTGGGCAGTTTGTACTTTTTGAGCTGCCACAAGCAGAACAGTCTTTGTTGTGCTTTCTTAGTGAGAGAGGTGATGTTCAGCTCCTACTTAAGTTCCTGGGCGATGGAGCTCCAAGTTGACGAGACCTCACCAGGACACCAGCCGGCCGATATCCCCCTCTAGGCAGTCTTGTCCACATCAGAGTGGTGTCATCCGCAGACTTCAGAAGTTTGACAGATCGATGACTGGAGGTGCAGTTGTTGGTGTACATTGGTGTAAATATGTTTTAATCATAACGTGAAGGTAAGAATGTTTGAAACAAAACAGAAATACTCTCTATTTTGTGAAATGCCAGGGCCGAGGGAGCCATTGCATTAAAATTATATTACCAGAAATAATTACCAGAAATGTCACAAGTCATAAATGACATAAGTGTCACGTGTGTGTGGTGAGTTTTGG